AGCGAAGTAAAGGTGAGAGCTAGCAAATGCACAGCTCGACACGCATCACGAGCCTTGTCAGCCCAAGAGAGGATCTTGCCGTAGGTCGGGCTGGGGATTGGTGGAAGCTCACCATTGGCGGACATGTTTGTCAGCAGGGAGGTGACCTGAGATTTAGGGCCATTTAGGGTCTGTGGAGTCTACAGGTTAAGGACCGATGTGGAGTTTCGGTTTGGGTCGTAGGATTCGGGCTTGAGCCTTACATCAAGAATGTGATTAACAGATAATTGCGCCACATTCCTCTTATTCCTCAGCAACTGCAACAGCAACGGCTACTACTGCACTAAAACTGGACTACTAAACTACTAAGCTACTAAACTAGTACTACTACTACTACTACTACTACTACTACTACTACTACTACTACTACTACTACTACTGCTACTGCTACTGCTACTGCTACTGCTACTGCTACTGCTACTGCTACTGCTACTGCTACTGCTACTGCTACTGCTACTGCTACTGCTACTACTACAACCACCACCACCACCACCACCACCGCCACCACCACCACCACCACTGCCACCACCCCCACCCCGACCACCACCACCACCACCACCACCATCAACCGCCACCACCACTACCAGTACCGCAAGGGTCACCACCACAACCACCACGACCACGACCACGACCACGACCACGACCACGACCACCACCACCACCACCACCACCACCACCACCACCACCACCACCACCACCACTACCAACACCAACTCCAACTGCCACTGCTGCTACGACTCCTGATGGGACAACTGCATCTATGGCCGCGCCGTTGCATGACATCACCGATGGATGCCTTAGACCTGGTTCCTAACCACATGCAAATCCTTCTTTGGAGACACACTTTAAGTCTCGGCCATGTGGCCCATACCCAAAGAGTCTGAGAAGGATCTTCCACTTCGTCCAGGACTGCCTTGCAGCAAATGCAGGACACTTGCAAGAGCGCACAGGCTTAAACCAAGGAAGGAACCCCTTCCAAAACAAACGAAACCCTGCACTACGCCGAAACTGAGGTGTTTAGAAGGTACAATTCCGAGTCATGGGGGATGATGGCAAAAATAAATGTTGATGATTCTTTTTCGAGTCCGGTTGCCAACTAGAAGTCCACCCAACACATGACAGCCCACGAAAGGCTTCCAAACCCTAAATCCGAAACCCTAAACCCCACCCTCCGTCCTTCTCTTCCTTGTAGATCCTGGCCACCGTCGCACTCGTCAACTTCACCGAATCCAAGCTTCCCTCGTGGAGGAGAGAAGCCTTGCCAGTGAAGCATCAGCCCCTCTTCAGCTGGAAAAGGGATGTTAGGTTTGGGGTTTAGGGGTTTAGGATATCAACCTCCATGCATGTGATGCCTTTTAGGTAGAGGGGACACTTTCATAAAGGCTTGCGGACTGCTGCAGATCTTAACAAGAGACCCTGATTTGGACAAATCTCGCAGAAGCCGCAGCAAATATGCAACTTCATGCTACTATAGTGTCTTGTTGCTAGTATGGCTGTGGGAATTCCGGGAGTTCGCACCTGTAGCATAGTGCCTCACCCATCAACGCGGGACCAAACCCTCCTCTGCCTGCATGCGGACTCGATGACTGCTGTTAGCCCGAACGTGAACTTTCATAGGCAGTCCGACACAGATCCGCTCCCCCCTTCCCCACCTTTGCTTCGGTTCAGCTTCATTCGTTCAATCCCGTTGTGTGCCGGGCTGTCCCTTACTAATTCATTCCTGCCAAGACAAACTTTCTGCTGCCGGTCCGAGGCGGACGACGAGAAGTGCTTGAACAAAGCTTATCGGTTTAGGGGCTAAGGTTTAAGGGAGGTCCGTATGGAGGCTTGAAGCTTCTAGATGCATGGGGAGGTGGGGGGGGGGGAAACAGGGCGAGAAGAAGTGGATTGCTTAATATGAAGCTGCACCTTCTCTTTTACAGTAATTCGCAATATTGCCGAACTCCTTTATCTCCCCGAGGCAAACAGGCAGTAAATATGTAGCCTTTATACCAGAGAGCCCAAATTAGTGACAACAACACGGAGCTTCTTGTGGCTTACACGCATTCCACATGAACACAGGCGCCTGGAGCATTGCTAGCAGCGTTCCCCCTAGTCCGCAGCTACATGTATAGCACAAGATTCGCCAGAACCCCATTTCCTTTATTACCTATACTATGGTCTCCATTGTAGATCCTTTTTTGGGCTACCTTCTCAGATCCTAACTACAACATTGGTTTAACCAGAAACGGAATACAATGGAGACTATAGGTAAACCATCGAGTTCTGATCTCGGAGATCCTGGGTGTCCGGCCCACTTCTTCTCCTTGAAGGCCTTGCGCTCTTCACTCGGGAGCGTCTGCATCTGCAGGGAGAATTGAAGGCCTTCGGTGAGAGAGCTGATCGCAGGAATCGAAAGCCGAGGTGTTCGGGGATTCAGGGGTTCAGGAGTTCGGGGTTCTGGGATTTGGCTTTTTCAGGTTTCAGGCGCTGGTCGCCCTGCTCGTCTCTACAAAGAGTGATCGACAGGATTCTGGTGTCGGTGCCCAACCCAAATGATGTGTTGGCGCGATGCAGCACCTACCGCAAACTGGTGATGAAGTTACAAATACCACACACCTCCCAGTCCCGACACCCACGCAGCCGATTGGCTCTGGCTAGTCCTTCACTAGAACTTTGCCTACATGACCTTTGGCTTTGGACATACCCCCAGCCTCAGCACCAAAGAAGTTACGAGAATCAATTCCCTTCTAGTCTCCTCTCCTGGGCCCGTGAACTCATCATCATGGTCGGGCACCATCAGCGCGACGATTGGCTGTTGCTGCATGCGGCTCAGGCTTCGGGGGTTGTTCAGTCAAATGTTGGCGGAAAACGCGTTGATCCTCCTACTAATCCAGGATCCCAAGCGGCTGCAGCCGCACTAGCCTGAGCCATCAAGGCAGGATCCTATGAATCAACAAGTCTCAAGAAACGCCTGCACTATGACCCTCAGCCTACACCTGTAGTCCCGATCCACAACCGCACTGCGCTGCCAAAGAACCCCTGTGCTCCATAGTAGCTCCTTCTATGGGATTGCCTTATAGTATTCTAGCTATGAACCCCAAAAAGGAACCCCTAAACCCTAAACCCGAAAGTACTTACGCTGAAGGAAATTTCTCAGAGCTAAGGCCCTGGCTGCAAGCGGAGACCACAGCGTAGCGAACCACCATGTGAATGTGCTCTTTTGGCGCTCCTGAGATCTAACCCAACGACTGCTACCACTGCTCCTACTACGACCACTGCTACGATTATGATTGTTATCTAGTATCACAATGAAAATATCTACTACTACTACTACTACTACTACTGCTACTACTACAACAACTACTACTACTACTACTCCTGCTACTACTACTACTACTACTACTACTACTACTACTACTACTACTACTACTACTACTACTACTACTACTACTACTACTACTACTACTACGCCGTCCGGGAAGCAAAAGCCTAAAGCCTAGAAACCTCAGCCATCAATGTCTTGCTTCTAAAACTACATGGAAAGCATGGAAAGGAATTCACGAGGAGTGGCCCATGGCAGCCAACTGCATGTGGAGTCCACGGATGGCCGTGAAGAGCTCTAGGAATCCGCATGTGCAGGCATACCTCAGGGTCTAGGGTAGTGCAGAATGTGGGACTGAGGGCGTATTGTTTTCGATTGGCTAAGGCCGGCGATTGGCGCTGTCGCTTTATGTCAACACACCCCCCAACGGGGAACAGCCCATGCACAGCACCAACCCTCGTAAACAGCGCTATACACGTTCATCCTGCTTCAAAGATTATGCTCAAGTAGCACCAGACTTCAGATGCGTATGATCAGACTGGTCTCAGCAGAAGTCCGAGTTGAGCGTGACAGCAAAATATTGGAGGTTGATGCTTCGCTACTTTTATGGTGCTGAGGGAGGTTAGCTGGAGCTTCAAGCGCCACAGAGCCCGCAGTCGCAACGAGCACTCCTGAAGCTCTCATAGAGGCAATAGCAAGAGATTACAATACCCCGGCGAAGATTCATCTTGGAGTATCTCATGTATCTGTTTTCACTCGCTACGCTAATTTGTCGTAGCGCTTCTAGGCTTGTCGTGCGAAGGCGCTTCAATCAATAAGCCTCTCACACCAACCACTGCCCAAAGACAACCCGTTCAAACTCGACTGTATAATCTCCTGCAGCCCATCATCTGCACCTACTACAGGTTCTTCAGCCTAATCAAAAAGTGCTGGTTCCCAAACTCAACATTGACAAGTCCTGTCTGTGCCGGGCCGCCAGCGATTCACGGATGAAGAGAGGAAGAAACCAAGAAGCAAACCCACGATAGCCTTCCTTGGATCCAGTGAGGATAGAACCAGCAACAGACTGGTGTTGAGGTGTAGGATCGTGTTGGAATTGTGTCGGAATTTCATCTTTAAGCTTCAGTGATCAAGAGACAGACATGATCAGAAGCTGTGTTGGTATACCAGGGCTCGATCTGCATACATGCCCATTGGCTTTGATTGCACCGATGGCCGCGGACGTAAGGCACATTGCTCCAAAGCTGCAAGCTTGAAGGCTGACACCACTCCACCAAACTAAGTACTGTCATGCCCGAAAACCGGACCTGCCCAATCCCACTACCAGCATCCTCAGGTTGTTTTTCCCAAACTGCCATATTATATTATGAACATATGACAACGACACGCTTCCGAAACCCTGCCCTCCAACCGGAGCAGCCCCAGAATTCAGAAGGCTTCCCAACTCCATCCTTGAAAGACATCGCAAAAGGGCAAGTCTCAAGAAGGTAGTGAGCTTGTTGTACTTGGAAGTTTCCAGCCTTGGTGTTCAGACAAGGCCCTAAATCCTGGGGACGGGCTGCCGTGACTTCCGTGTATGTGGCAGGAGGCGGGCAAAGGGCAACCATCGTGAGACTTGCAGCTGCTGCTGCTACTGCTGCTGCGACTGCTGCAACAA